AGTTTCATCACAATTGGTTCAGTTTAAATGACTAAAATATAACATTTTTAGATAGCTTGAGATCTTAAAATATTACCACCTTGACCTTGAGCTTGGGATAATCACATAACCAAGTCTAATAATGAAATATATTATTAACAACATGTTTCTCAAGTAGGACATAATCTGAAGAACAAATTGCATCATGCACAGCTTCATGCTTGTAATCTCCGAGGAAGTATTTAGAATCCAAAGAGCAATGAGCTACTTTACTTTACGTTTAGCCTAAAATATGGCTACATTACAGACTATAAAAGTCCTCTGCTGAACAGAGGCCTAACTTAATAACTATAACATGCTATAGTTGCCACGCTTGGCAAGCGGGTTGGCAACCGCAGTTTTTTATTATTTTGAGCTGTTATCAGCAAGGTGCTGCTGCCCATCTCTTGATTCATTTTCCCTCTATCGCCTCTTACGGCATCCTCGGGACGATATGGAGTAGTGGATATTCTCATATCGCTATTACACGGTTAATAATAAATGGGTATAAATTAAAAATTGTAAAAGAAGTGGTGGGTGGCTAGTCCATCCTTTTACGGCATACTAGACAAGGAACACAGTTGACACATTCTTTTATATTACGATGCGTACACATAATATAACATAACATGTTATATAACATGTTTCAATAATGTAGAGGCTGTATGTTATAGTACGTGTTATATAACGTGACATAAATGATATATAACGCGAACGGCAGATCGACAAACGACAATGTCATACAACAATGTCACATAACATTGTTATATTGCATTGTTATTCCAATGTGTACAGTATGTCGTAAAACAATGTTACATAATGTAGATGTGTTAACAAAACAAAAGTTATACAACATGTTACTTAATCTGTACGCACCCTTATAAAACCTTAACACACATGGTTCAACCATGATAATTAGGGTGACCCAGACCAATATAAAACTAATTGTATCCATATATTCCATATATCTTAAGCTGATAATTTAAAATAATGAGCTTTTTATATTTCAAAACGAAACTCTCGTTGAATTATTTTCTCTCGTTTAACATGTTAGCAATCCAAAGATTATACATATATATATAGTCGCTACGTTAGTTATATATGAATAATTCTATGAAATGGGACAGTAAAATGGTTACTTTTATTTCATTTGTATTTTTTTATTTACTCTTTTTCATTTTACAATGCGGCAATGCTTCACGGTTGTCACGTTTTCGAAACCACCAGGAGTACGATTCCAATGCAGATGTCGAAATATTACAAAACTTGGATGAGAAGACCTACGAAGACCTGATGAACGAGCTTCCAATATTAAGGCAAGTTTTCATAGGAAATAAAACGAACAAAAGCTTGTAACTGAACGCCACTGCATTACCATATATCCACCAAGAGAGCAATCTAGAACTCGAATGTTCGCACTGCACCGATACAATGGGTGTGTCACGTAGTGAAGATAAGTTTGCAGAACTAGTTTGCTCGGATTCGGTATTATTAGCAGAGTCTAACTTTTGCATAGAAAATAATTTTCGCCCTCGCCCTCATAATCGACCGTTATATCAAGACCCGATTCAAAAAGATCTTCATTAGGTATTAACGAAATAGGTTTTGATATCTGTTTACGTAAGCCTAATACATTAGGAGCCGGTTCATCGCCTCTAATAAGTACTTCGTACGTTAACTTCTGTTTATTAAGCACAAAATATTTAATAGGGTGAGTTCCCATTGTGTATTTACAACAGAATACTAAAAACAAGACAAAAGGAAAAGTAGGATACTACAAGCATAAAATTACCTCATCTAAATCTAAAAATCAATCAATCAATCTAAAAACTATATAACTGCAATTCTGTTCTTTACAAAAAAACTACAACGTAAAATCTAACTACGATTCGGTGTAAACTATTACTAATTTAAATCTAGGTACTTTCACAATTAAAAAGAAAATGAACAGTTGCTTAGATGCGAACTGTTACGTATATAATTACGACTTTAAATAGTTTAAAAAGTTATCAGGGTATTTAAAATATCTACATTTATTATATTAAAAATATTAACAAAAGAACAGGTAAGTAATAGTAATATTCTACGTAACAATCGACACTATAATAAAATGGTGGATATGAACGCTTATTAAATTATAAAAAAACGTACCAGTTCGCTGTTGTAGACACCTCGTCGTTCACAAAAAAACATAAGTTGAGAGCTGCAAAGCGAGAAAAAAAAGCGAATGTTTGGAAGTAAAATTAACCACGTTGAGCGCCACTGTACCGTTAAAGAGTACAGAAATAGGTGGGTTCTTAAAAAGCCAACATTTGTTGTAAATTATTTATTTATCTTACTTCCGCACACGTACAAGTAAGTTCTATGAAGGGGATCACTGTCCTGACGTAGGGGCGAAGTCCAAGTGCTGTTGCCCCAGGGCCGTAGACAGCCAGCTATCAGCAGGAGTCGGTGAAGCCCAAGCCCGACAGTGATGATGGCCGTTGGTAGGAGGGAAGGCCAACACTCCGTTAGCTCGCGGCTCGGCAGCAGTAGCCCTTAGGTAGCAGGTAGATGCTTAGGTAGTAGGTAGATGCTAGGTGGTGGTAGATCCTAGGTAGCAGTAGATCATGGAATTCCAGACGGAGGCCAGCATTAGGGAAACTTCCAATAGCACTATATGCGCCCTAGTCAATTCCAGCACCCCTTCTAGGAAGTTGAAATATTCTTAAAGCTAAGCCCTAAGCAGCCTCAGCAAAAGAGGTAATAATTAAGCAGAACAGTTACAATGTTTCAATAAATAAGAACTCACCCCAGCGGGATCAACTCGAATAATTTAAATTGTAGGTAAGCAGGTTCAATAACTCCGCCATTGCCGGTCCCAAGCCCGGATAAGAAAGGAGGAGGGGACGGTTCCGCCGGAGAGAGTGGGTGTATCCGGTGGACTAACACACCCACCTGCGCTAGGACCTGCGCAGTCGAGCGCCGTACGTGGGGATGAAGGAGTCCTGGAGGGTTGAGCCGATCGTCGCTGGGGTATATAGTGGCGAGAGGCAACACGCCCTCTTTGGTCCGGATTTCAAGCTAAACGGTGGCCCTATCTGCTAGCCACAGATAGGGAAATGGCCAAGCGCCCCGTCAGAGGGTCGCAGGCGAAGGATGTGGGGGCTGCCTAGTCTTCCTGAAAAGGGGGCTGGGTGGTGGTAAAGGCCATGCTGACGGAACAAGTGACAGTTTATTCGGGTGGTGGGGATGGGCCTTGTCAGCCCCATCTACCAGCTGGATCGAGCTCCCGATTTCGCGCTGTGAGCCAACTTCGCGTCCCTATATTCTCCCGGTAATCCTAACGCCTGAAATTCCTTTTTTCTAAAGTAGGGCGTTTCCAAAGGTGCAGGCTCCATGGAGGGTGGGAAGCCGGGGGGAAGAGTTTTAAAGAACAAAAATTATGGACAATTTAAGGCCCAATAAGAAAGAGGGAGAGGTGTCAGAGGGGCTTTTCAGAGACACAGAACAAGGGGGAACCGTCACTAAACTGACGGTTCCACGGACAGTACCGTCCAGCGTAGGTGCCCCCACCAAAGGGATAACTACCTCACTGAACGTTTCCAAAACCAGTTCCAAGGAGCTGGACGAGAAAAAGGAACAAGAGCCCGCGAGTGACAAAACTGCGGAGCCACTACGTACTGACGACCTTTTCTCTGCTGCCTGGCAAGTGGTGAGCCGTAAGGGGAAAGGCAAGGTACCCAAAAAGGTGACTTGCCGACCTGACGGACCATCAGGAGCGTCCATCCCTGCAGGCAGTAGTGGAAAGGCCAAAAAGAAGAACAAGAAGCAGAGGGAAAAAGGCCGTAGAGAACGAGCCGCATTGGCTGCTTCCGAAACTAAAACCAAGGAGGCTGGGCAACCTACTGCGACTGGGGTGCTTGGCGCTGGAACCAGTAGCCGCGCTGAAGCTGGGAAGGATCAAAATCCATCCCAAGTGGAAGTCGCGGCCGCGGGAACCAGCTCTAGGATATCCGCCAGGAAGCAGCGAGCGGCCAAGCGTCCTGGGAAGAAGGAAAGAGTAGCCAAAAGGATGCTGGAAGAGTCCACCTCGCCTAGAGGGGAACACAAAAAAGTGCGACTCGAACAGCAACCAAAGACTGCAAAAACGAGCTACGCTTCCGCTGCTAAAGCAGATTTGGGTGTGGCCTTAACGTGTGCGCGTTCAGGTCACATTACGAAGGAAGTAGCAGACGACATCCTCGTAGCAATACAGAGGAAGATGATCAGCGAGGCCTGGAGTAGACAGGACCCTGATGCGTCGGGCCCAGTTTTTAGGGGCAAACCCGTTTATACGGAAGGTGTCCTGAAACTGTGGTGCGGAAAGGCTCTGGACTGGTTGAAGGGGAATATTGCTACCCTCGACCTTAAATCCAACACCTTGCTGACAATAAAGACACAGTCAGAGATACCACAAAGAGTCAAATGTGGTATCCTTATCCCTGATGCCCAAGGGGCCTGGAAAGACTCACGAGACATTGGTCGCGTGCTGGCGTACCAGAACCGCTGGGTTAACATCAGGGACTGGCTGTTACTCAAGGCTGATAAGCAGACGGACGGGTGGTTCCTCGTTGTTTCGGTGCCGGAGGATCATATCCCGACCCTGATGAAGGCCGGACGCCGTCTCGCATGTGTATGCGGGGCGGTATACGTAAAATTCCAGGGTCGTGGAGGTAAATTCTTTAACACTGCACCGAGCAAAGAGGTAGGAAACAACCCGGAAGTTATGGATACCGGAGCCATGGTTACCGGTACAGCGGAATCACTGGAGGCCAAGTCCAGTGAAAAAACGGCCTGCACAATTGAGCCGAAGCCCCCAGTGGAGATCGGGCTCAGCGGCAGCTCACTGAGTGACGAGGAGGACTGCATTTAGCCAACCATTTCCGACTCGGTGGCTGAAGATGAAACCCGAGATCTTCTGGCAGGCCTATTTTTGGGCGGGGACGGGGAGGACGCGATCAATGATGGCGTGCCCTTCGTCCAAAACTAGCCTAGTGCAGGCCAACCCCCACTACAGCGAAACTGCGTCGGCTCAATCACGCAAGTGGTTGGAGGTTCAAAGGACTGCCATAGCCTTAAGCCAGGAGCCGTGGGTTGGGGCTGGTAAAATTAAAGGCCTAAACAACCTAAAAGGTAAGCTATTCTACACCTCTGAACACAACAAGCCTAGAGCGTGTATTTACACTACTAAAGATATCTGTGCACAACCATTAACAGATTTCTGTTCTAGAGACATGTATGCCGTGGCAATACAATACACACAGGAGAGAAGATTAGTCGTCGCCTCGGTCTACATGCCGGAGGAAGACACTCCTCCCCCTCATGACCTCGGCAGGCTGGTGAACTTCTGCGAGAGGACCGGACTAGAGGTTGTGATCGGGACGGACTCCAACGCACATCATACCCTTTGGGGAATGGAAAAACCAAATGAACGAGGTAAGGTTTTAGTTGAATATTTATTTAGTACTAACCTAACCATTTTAAACATAGGTTCTGAACCTACTCTCATAAACAAACGCTGTCGCACTATAATCGACCTCACACTTGCAACAGAAGGAGCAGCCAAACTAATTACGGGATGGCATGTGTCGAAAGAGGCCTCATGCTCAGACCATAGATGGATCTGCTTCGCACTACAGGTCGATATCCCCTCTACACCACCATGGAGAAATCCCCGCAAGATGGATAAAACAAAATACCTAAATAGGCTGACGTCTTTGCTCGCGGATTTTGAGGGGATAACTACTATAGCAGATCAGTCGCTCCTAGAAGAACAGGTAGCAGCTGTTACTAAGACCATGATAGACAGCTACCATGAATCATGTCCAGAAATCACTCCACCAAGACATGCCGAGGTAAAGCAACCGTGGTGGGGCAAATAACTCGGTAGGAAACGTAAGAAGGTAAGAAAAGCCCTAAATAGGGCCATGAATACCTCAATTGATGAAGACTGGCTACTATATAAGAAAGCTAAGTCTAAATACAAAAAATGTATCAGGTATCGGCGCTCGACTGGGTGGCGTAAATTCTGTGGCAACATAGAAACCTACGAACAAGCAAATAGGATAAGGAATATTCTAGCTAAACAGAACACGTCGGGATCCTTGTCTCTAAAGAAACCTGACGGTAGCTACTCAACATCGCCGGATGAAGCCCAACGCATCCTAATTGAAACGCACTTCCCATGGGCCATTCACAGTTTCCTCCCCTATAAGGCGGCAAGACCTGACGGCATATTCCCGGCACTCCTACAGTGGGGGGGTAAAGCCCTAATAATCAGACTTGTTGCCATAATGCGAGCCGGTCTGGCTCTTAAATATGTTCCTAGGGGATGGAGGGAAGTGAAAGTTATATTCATACCCAAACCAGGTAAGAGCGACTACACTGACCCTAAATCCTACAGGCCCATTAGCCTCACATCCTTTCTCCTAAAGACGATGGAGAGGATGTGTGAAAGGGAATTAAGGGGGTCGGCGCTAATGAACTTACCACTACACGATAAGCAACACGCCTACTGTCTAGGCAAATCAACAGAATCGGCCATTCATCAGGTAATTACAAAGATTGAAGAGGCCATCCAAAACAAAGAAATATGTCTAGGTTCCTTCATAGATATAGAAGGTGCTTTTGACAGAACGAACTTCTCCAGTATAAAAGGTGCACTCAGTAGACATAAAGTTGAACCGGCACTGATCGACTGGATAGTTCACATGCACAGTACACGAATAATATAGATTGCTGGTGAATCTCAATCAATCCAAATTAAGAAAGGCTGCCCGCAGGGTGGGGTTCTCTCACCTCTCCTGTGGAATATGGTCATTAATGAACTCATCAGCAAATTAAATGCCAATCACTTCTATACAGTAGGTTATGCTGACGACCTGACAATACTGGTCTCTGGAAAGACAGCAAGGATAGTGTGCGACCTGACCCAAGCGGCTCTCCGTATAGTGGAGAGATGGTGCAGGGAATACGACTTAACCGTCAATCCAAATAAAACGGTTTTAGTAATGTTCACACAAAAACGAAAGCTGAATAACTATCATCCTCCAAGTCTTTTTAGCACAAAACTCCAGCTATCCTCTGAGGTAAAATATTTAGGTCTTACCTTGGACAGCAAACTTAACTGGAATAAACACATAGAAAACAAAATCAACAAAGCTAGTATAACTTTCTGGCAATGCAGAAACATGATTGGCAAAAGATGGGGACTGACGCCAAAAATCATACTGTGGCTTTACAAAACTGTAATTCGGCCCATGATCACATACGGCGCTCTGGTATGGTGGACCAAGACAAATGAAGCCACCACAATTAAGAAGCTTCAGCGCTACCAGAGACTGGCATGTATGGCCGCCACAGGCTGCATAAGTACTACGCCAACAGCAGCCTTAGAAGCGATGCTGGAGCTAACTCCGCTTCATCTACATATACAACAAGAAGCGACTTTAGCTGCCATCA